TCCGGAACCCCCCGCGTTGAGGAGAGCGTCTGCTTCCGGATCCGCGGGATGGCGGGCGGCCGCGGCTGTCTTGACTAGGATTCCGCGGGCGGCTGGGGCTCCTATCGGGTGTCTTCGTACCAGCAGCAAAGAGGCACATTTGCATTTGTCACCCTTTTGGCACTTGTTCTGGACGAAGTAACTGGACTGCGCCATATGCGGAAAGTTGCACTTGTCACCACGCGCGCAGGAACTGCGCTTGGCGAACTCGAAGCAGAAGAGCTTCGCACTTGGCTTTTCTCTGGTACTCGCAAGGGCCGACAGACTGCGGCGGGCGTGGCCGCCGGCGTGCGAAGTACGGGATGATCGGCCGTCTCTGCTGTCTCTGGGGTACGTATGCAACGCCTTGCAACGATCCCCATTCCGGCAGTTGCCTTTGTTCCATGCAGCGCAGATGTTCACCTGAGAACGATTCTCGTATTCGCACCGTAGCTTGTTCTGGTTCTTCTCGAGTTGTTTCATCTCAAGAACATCAAGAAATTGTTGACGAAACCAGTCGTAGGTACGATTCGGGTCGCTTAGTTTCATTCTCTGGTTTTCGTACATGTCCTGTTTCATCCAAGGATGCCTGCGAATCTGGGTCTGGAACAGAGACTCGAGGATCTTGGGGTTGGGTGCCCCGCGGCAATGCAACAAGAGAGCGCCCCATTCAGCGATGAATCGTTGCAGATCTTCATCTCTCATCCTCAACTCCTTGAGGCGCTCAAAATCGTGTAGGCCATCGTCAACCTCGGTCACCTTGTAGGACTGTAGAATGTGCCAGTAGATCTGGCGACCTTTCAACATACGTCCGTCTTTGTGCTCTTTGGTTTCGACGAGAATGATCTTGAAGCGCAAGTCAGAGGACAAGATGTAACTGAGAGCAGTTGCGAGCTTGCAGCCAATGCTCTCAAAGTCACCGCTGCCTTGCAAGTCCTCAAAGGTACATTCAGGTTGTTCGGCTACGCAGAGAAAGGCGTATGCTTTAGAGGGGCGCCCTGAAGCGGCGCCGAAGTTTTTCCTGACCTTTTGCTGCCACTCGAGCAGTTGAATGATCTTAGGCAAGACAGGGGCACGGACGGTGTCAGACTCCTTGATAGGAGAAGTAGTGGTAGCCGAAACTCCAGACAATGGCTGCGAGGGCAACGGTACACCGTCATTAGTTGGGCCTGTGCGCACTGGAGACACGTGTCGTGTCTGAGCAGAAACTGCCGCTGAGACTGCTCCTGGTGACGTACGTCTTGGTTGTCCTGCAGGAGCGCGTGGTGCTTCAGCGGACGTCGCCGTCGGCCTGCGTTGGCCTGGCGATGGTAGGGTGTGAAGCGTTGCATCGCTAGTGTGGTCGATCAGTAGAGACGTCCAAGTCTGTCATGTCCTCGTGCATTTGGTCAACTTGTTGGCGTACAGAGCGTAGATCGTGCTTCGACGAGCCGACCTCCTCGCCAGTGTCCCGAGAGCGCTGTGAATACCTATCAAGTCTCTGCTCGCAAGCTCGGAGACGGACGTTGCGCGCCTCCATTTCACTTTCCAAACGCGTGAGACACTACTCAACAAGTACCTTGTTCAGCATCTCTGTCCCGAAGGGCCTTGGAGAGCTCAGGCTGCGCGCGGTCCGCCGAAGTCCTAACTTCCTGCAACCTGTCAGCGAGGGGGGCGAAATCAAAAACGAAGCAGGAGATTCCAGCTGGCCGGTCTGGGCTCGTCCAACACGCAACTCTGCCAGGGCGTTCTGTACTCCTGGTAAACGCTGCTCAACCACAGAGATTCGGTCAGTGAGGGGCTGCACAACAGCGTTGGTCGCATCAAGCCGTTAGGCGAGGATTCTTTCAGCATTCTGCAACACCCCGAGCAAGGTCGAAGAGTTGGCACTTGCTTCAGCACGAAGCGTAGCCGTAGTATGTTCCACGTGTGATCGAAGATCATTGATCTAAAACTGAACGTCGCCGAGGTCACGCGCCTCGGTCGGAAGGGGGTCGATTGCGCAGCTGGTCGTGGATCTCGTCATGCAAGAGCCTGGCCGCGGACACGCCTGCGTCGCGGACGACGACAAGCTGCTGCTCCATCTGCGCCTGGTAGTTGCGCAGGTGGTCGACCGTCGCGGACCGTTCACCTGAGTGTGACACTTCACGGTCAACCTGATACTGCAACTCTCCTACGATTCGGCGATCTTCGGCGATCCTGGAAACGATGATCGCTAAGGCGCCGTCAAACTCTTGGCGAAGAGCAGCAGTGTGCGCAGCGTTCGTCTGAACAGTCTGCACCAGTCCAGAGTGCTGCCTGGGCACGAAGGTTTCAACCTGGTCTCGAAGCCCAGCGAGGTCACCTGCAGCGGGCGTAGCCGCCGGCAGGTCGTCTGAAAGAAAGAGGTGAGGGGCGTCAGCCCGCTGAGGCACCCTCCCGCGAGAAGTGCGTGCCTCTGAGAGGCCGCACACGAGCTCGACCTGCGCTCATCGTAGGGGCCTGCGGCCTCACGACGGGTGCGCTGGGACGAGCTGCGGCTAGGGCCGTGTGCGTGCGGCGTCGGATGAGATGGCGATACCTTGGGATGCTGCGTCTGCGGCTGCGCCGCCACTGGTCTGCCGAGCTCCTCGAACGCTGCCACGCGCGCCGACGCGGGGGCGGTGGCAGGGCTGGCTGGGCCAACGCCACTGTTCCAACGGCGGGGTGCGCGGAAGCGCCCAGGTGTGTCGGGACCAGTGGGGCTTGCGCCCGACGCAGTAGGGATTGCTCCCGACGTAGGAAGAGGAGAGATAGGATCGAAGCTGGGCGCGTGAACGTCGCCAACGCCTGTTCCTAATCCTCCTCCTACCCCCCCCCCCCCCCCCCCCCCGGGCGTCGATGCGGCGAAGCTCAGCCGCGAGACGCGCCTCGGGGCCGTCGGAGCTGGGGAGGGGGGGTATCAGGGACACCCACACGGTCACCTCCAAGGCTCTCCATAGCCTCACGGAGCCCACGCGCCGACGGAGAGCTCGCACGCGGAGCCGCGACGGAGCCCTTACGGCGAAGCCGCCGCAGGGGATCCATCGTGGCTGCGAGCGAGATCGCGTCGCGGCGTTCGGTGAATGGTGAGCTCTAAAGGCCGATAACCTGCGTATGGGGTTAGAGTACAAGGGTACAGAACCCCTGATCCGTAGGTAGAGGAAGGAGGGAAAGATAGGGATCGGTTCCTTCTGTGCGACCAGCGCCCTGGTCCCTTCCAGTACCTGAGCCGATAGGGCAGGCGAAAGGGCGAGTGAGGAATAGAGATGAGGGTATGAGACGGTTTCCTTTCACAGGTGGATGTGAGCCTGGCTTCCAGCGCCTGGCCCGCCCCAGCGCCACGTCCGCCAGCACCTTGTTGATCATTTGGCGTGGGAGGCCCATCCACTGGGGTAGCACTCGGATTGCCCATGGGTCACGTTCACGAAGCGGATTAGCTCGAGGCCTCTCTGCATCTGGGAATGTAGGAAGGTCATCCAGTCCCTCCATGAGGTGACAGACTTCTGCTGCTTGGCGTTGCTGCTTGTGTTGTTGGAGCCGCACCGCGCCTCCTCACGAGCTGCCAGGCCGACGTGATCCCATATCTCGCCCTGCTTGATCTCGGAGCAGAGCTGGTGGATCCTTCGTTGCACTGCCCTGTCGATCACGTCGATGTTCTCTGCTGGCTGCTGGTGTGGTAGAGACCCTTCGATCACTGCGCGATCCACTGGGTGCCGCGTGCCGACGATGGTGCGAGCGACGCTGCTTGGGAGCACTGGAATTGGATGTACTGGAACCTGAGCCGCGGTCTGAAGCCATTCGGTAGACCACTGGAGTCGCCGCGAGGACTCGATGAGTCTCGCCGTCTCCGCCCGAAGCGCAGTGCAGTTGATACGGAAAGCTGAGACAGCAAGAATTTGGATGGCGAAGCTTCGCAACGGGTGGCAGCTCACCCCTGGCTGGTGCTGCAAACGCATGAGCGCAAGACTCTGGGATTATGGATGGGAGCCTACCCCGCCTAGGCAATTACTGAGTACCCACCTTGACCTTGAGCCAAAAAAGCTACGGATGATGATGATGATGATGATGATGATGATGATGATGATGATGATGATGATGATGATGATGATGGTGATGGTGATGGTGATGATGACGATGCTGATGACGATGAGGATGATGAGGATAGTGGTGGTAATGATGATGATGATGATGACGATGATGATGATGACGATGATGATGATGATGATGATGTTGCTGATGATGATGAGTGTATGCTGATAATGATGAAGAAGGAATAGAAGAGGAAGAAGAGGAGACATAATACTAATAAGACGCTGAATAAGAAGAGACAAGATGGAATAAGACTGAAGGCGCCGCCGAAAGGCCAGAGGCCGAGGAAGAGGAGAAATAATAAGGAAAAGAGGAAAAAGCAGAAGACGTCTTCCACTGGCACCGATCCGTACCAACACGTAGGGGGTAAACTCGCATGTGATGCTGGCAGTTACGAGAACAAAAAACCAGAGCTCTCTTCACAATTCGAAGATGGTGCGAGTAGCGAGGCACTCGGTAATTACCCTGCCCCACCCCGATGGCGGAAGGGAAGGAAGGAGGCTGAAGGAGAGCAGTGGCAAGGCGAGGAGAGAGCAATGGGGAAGGGAGGGAGCTGAGGACGCGGGGCAAGAGGGACAGGCAGAGGGAGGGGGGTAGAAGGCTGGGGGAAAAGGGGGACGATGATCTCAGGGCTCGCTCGACGCATGAAAAGGCGATGATCTAGCCACACAATGCTGGTCTCTTCCAGATTCTCGACGGTCACTAGGTTTATTCGTTCTAGGGTATGCCGACGTTCAACCCGCCTGAAGCGACTCGTGGTGACGTGCTTGCTTCCGAGTCCCGTGCCGGACGCATCGCAGAAGTACTGTCATTCTCCATTGCATGCATCCCTGACTGTATCCACTACTCCCACTTGTTGCAACTCTGATAATATCTGTCTTGGCCCCCACGCGAGCATGCTCCCTGACGGCCACCTGCGTGAACATCGCCATGATACCCAACTGCTGGATGATGGTCACGCACATGCTCAGAGCCATTGCTGCTTCCACTGGCGACGAGACCCATCGAGACATCACTTTGGTAGGGCGAAGACAATGAACACCCCAGGTACTGCGAGCTCCTGGCCCAAAGACGGCTGATAGCCCGCGCCTGGAGCACAACAGCGATCAGAATTGCTCAAAGTGCGAGGCGGGCGTCGAGTATCTTTGACGGCTCGTTGAGGAGGGAGGGCAGAGGGGGCCAGCCTTCTGAGAAGATGACGGGGGCTTCTCAGAAGCCCTCTGGGGCATCTCGGCAGGCTTTTTCGGAGGCGGCAGGCCTTCCCAGAAGCCCCGCCGCCCTCCCAGAAGGCTGGCCCTCTCTTGCTTCCCCCTCGGCGCACCGCACCGCCGATGTTCGTGCCCGCGGGACTGGCCGCTCGCACTCGCCAGGTGCGTGTGGGCAGCCACGGCCGAGGAGCTGAGAGAAGAGGAGGTGGGAGAAAGAAAAGGAGAAGAGGTCGGGGAGAGAAATGGAATGGAAGCGAATGGAACGGAACGGAACGGAACGGAACGGAATGGAATGAAATGGAATGGCTATGAGGGTCACATAGACAGTGAAGTAAATGTAGACTAGCGTTTAACCAAGTAAAGGCTGGCAGGCCGTCGCGCTGACAGGCGCACTAACTCGACAAACCAATCGAGATCACAAACAAGCAAGCCAAACCTGCTGAACACAGCAGGGGGAGGACGACGAGGAGGAGGAGGAGGAGGAGGAGGAGGAGGAGGAGGAGGAGGAGGAGGAGAGGGCTCTCCCTCCTCCCCCTCCTCCTCTCCTGAGTGCCAGGGCGAGCAGCAGGAAGGAGTGGCCCCGCTGCGACGTGCCCTTCAGGTCTATGTACACATACATGGCGGCGAGGAATGCGATCGCGCCTGCGGTCGGGGAGCTGGAAAAGTTGCCACCACTACCACCAAGCCGTCACAAGCCCATTTGGGCCAATATCTTGGAGGAAACTGTCTCCCGGGCTAGCCAGGAGCCGATGTAGGGCGGTGGATGACTCCCTCGCCCAATGGCATGCAACATCTATCGTACCAGACGTGAAGGCACTATCCGCATCGAGCGTGCATCGTGCGTCTGAGGATCACGGGTACTCTGTAGCCGCGATTCCGGGCGAACAACATCTCGGATGCACCGACCCCAGGGGAGATCGAGCCCAATGCCGTGCTCGCAACATATGCGCAGAACCGTGAGCGAGTCGACAAGTGATGCGCTTCGCCTCGCCGGCCAGTCCTCCTACTGGTCCTGCCTGCTGCTCTGCGGGCCGGCGGGCGGGCGGGCGGCGCAATGTGCATTGTCGCATCACGGCTCGTTGTGCCGTGACGTGTCATGTCGTGCTTCGTCGACTGCTGCCTGTTGTGAATATGGCAAGTGCCGTATGACCTCGAGTGTTGCGATTGCTCGTTCTTGCGGCAAGAACGAGCAAGAATCTTGCCGCGGTGCACCGCGGCAAGGATCTTGCCGCGGTGCACTATGGGTAGTGTTTTCTGGCGGTGACCTACGAAGCCTTGAGGGTTGCGATTGCTCGTTCTCGTCGTGGTGCCATCTAGGTGGTCTCTATGACTGGTGCACTCTGATGCTCTTGCCTTTGAATACAGCGGTGCCCGTGGCGCTCTATGGCTGGTGCCCTGTGATGCCTTGAGCGTTGCGACTGCTCGATTTTATCCTGGTGAACTATGGGCGGTGCTCCACACCTGGTGCCCCATGATTCCTTCATGAATGCGATGTACCGCTCTTGTTTTTAGGGGGCCACATGCGAACCCTACCCCCACCCCCCACGATTTCCGAGGGGGAGGGGGGGGGTTACTTCGTTCGGGAGCTCCCGAGCGAAGTGAACCCCACCCTCCCCCTCAGAAATCGTAGGGGGTAGGGGTAGGGTTCGCATGTGGCCCCCCAATTTTCGCGCTCTGCTGTGTCATTGTGGCCATGCTCTTGCGGGGCCCTCTCGGCTCAAGCCACGCTGGCCCTGCCGCGAAACCGCTTCTACAGAGCACAGCCGCCGCTGGCACTTCCGCAAAGTGATGCCTGCTGATCATCACACGCACAAGTTCGCACCGGAGATCGGTGGTACCACTGACCACAACCAACGACGGAACACATGGGCGCCACTGATGGCCGCACCGAACATCGGCAGCACCCCTGGCCGCAAACCACGACGGAACTCAGAAGCGCAACATCGAGCAGAAAAAGCAGCGGCGCCTCATACCCAGCTATTCAAAGACTGGGCAAGCACCCCTCTTGACAAGCTCTGTGGGGACGAAGGCAAGATACACTCACGAATTTGCATTCACTGGGCCCGCGGGCCAGAAGCGCACTAGAATCTCTAAGAAGCGGCTAGATGTTTACATCTTAGTAGTCCGCGCGCGCGTGGCGGCCCCTGGGGACTCGCGGAAGAGAAGTGTACCCCGTCCAGGTCCTAATTCGTCCCCAACACGTCCCCAACACGGTACTGTCAGAGATACACGAACTCCTGGGCGCGGACTTCAGGACCCCCTAGAACGCCCAAAGAGAACTCCCAGGGCCCCGAGGCGGCCCAAGCGCGCGGCACGACGGCCCAAGATGGCCTCAAGACGACCCTCCCCCCAAAACACTGAGAAACTGTTGCCAGTGCAACTCCCATTCTGATCAGGAATGCGGTAAAGAAAATCGGCCGACCCTGTCGGCGTGTGGAAGACGCTGCTCTGTTTGGCTCCTCGTCGTCATTGTCGTCGTCGTCCTCGTCGTCGCCATCGTCGTCGTCGTCCTTGTCGTCGTCGTCCTCGTCGTGATCGTCGTCGTCGTCGTCCTTGTCGTCGTCGTCGCCGTCGCGTCTGACCCCCTGTTCCTGGGGCCCGTCGCCGCTCCCTCCCTTTCACTGGGCCCCCCTCCTCAAGCGAACCAGCCAAAGCGAAACCAAAGCGAAAATGAGTAACGTCGTAGTGAATCGAAGGGAAGCCCCTTGCCTTTGATCCCTTCCACCCCCCCCCCCCCGAGTTTGGAGTCGGAGGGGGGTCCTAGGGAGGGGGTCCCGGAGGGATCCTGGGGCGGGTCCTGGAGGGCGCGGCCGGGATCGGAACACCATCCTGGGCCCAAAAAAACTCCAAGACAGCCCCAGAGGCCCTCGAGACAGTCCAAGAGTCCAAGAGGGCCCCGAATCGCCGAACAATCAATCCAAGACGGCAGAGACTGCCTCCTGACAGCCCAAGCGGCTACCAAGACGCTCGAAGAGGCCTCCAGGAGCACACCAAGAAGGCCACATCATGCAAAATTCAATGACTTTCTTTGAGTTCTTGAAAAATTCTGGCGCGCTTGCCTTTTCAGTTTCCCGACGCCCCAAGACTGCACAAGTCGCAGATCGGCGCAAGAGGTCTCAAGATCGCAAGACGGCCCCAACACGAAACAAGAGGGCCTTTCAGACGGCCCAAGTGACTCCCAAAACGGTTCTAAGAAGGTGCCCGCTCGGGAGCCCGAACGAACATTTCGAGCCCTCGGCCCCGACAGGCTCCCAGAAGGCCCCAAGAGGCCCCCAAGAGGCCCCCAAGAGGCCCCCAAGAGACCCCCAAGAGGCCCCCAGCCCACAAGAGGCTTCCAAGAAGCCCGAAGGGACCCCAAAAAATCTCCCATGAGGCCCCCAAGATGCTCCCACGAGGCCCAAAAACTCCATCCCAGAGGCCTACAAACGCGCTCCGAACAGGCCCCACGACGCATCCCTGAGGACCCTGCCCCTTGTCAGCAGCGTCGTCGCCGCCGCCGACGCCACCGTCCCCCTTTCAAGGTCATTGGCACCAGCCGTCGGATCTGCCCTGTAAGACAAATGGATTTCCCTGACGAGTCGGATAGGGCGAGGCACGGGGCCTCACATGGCGTCACAAAGGTATATGACTGTTTTACGGTGCCCAGGCCCGTGCCCGGGCACACGGGAATCCGATTAGTTGTCGTTATGCCGATATGTGTTCCCCGGATGCCCGTGCGCAGAAGTATTTTGCATACGTGGTGTTGCGTATCGCGAGTGCGCAAGCCATGCGGGAGAAACAACGTGGTGAAAATTATGTGGTGCAAACCATGCGCACGCGACTGTGTGGTGCGAGCAGTCTTGTGGAAGCTGTGTACATGGTCACGAAGAGCTATCGGGGACATGGTAAAGACGCACCTGGGGCATCACTCAGCATGAACGAATACAGCATACACATCCACTGCGCATATTTTGCAGAATGGACGCGCGCTCAAGCAATCCACGCGTCGACATAATCGCTGGTAGATCATATGGGAAACTTCAAATGGCTTCTAGATTACTGCTCGACGCTTATGTATCACATCTATGTATGTATCTGCTACTAGAACCACGCGCGCTTCGCGCGCGCGCTTAGGTTCTAGTCGCGCTCGGGGATCTATCATTGCGAACTGCCGCTGGGCACTGCCAGGTTGACTCGGGAAGTCCCTTAAGGTTGGTCGTGGGACCTGCCTCTGTTTGATCCGGTAACCCAAGAGTCGTGTACGGGGGTCTTTCCCGTGCCCGGGCACACGGGAACCCGATTAGTTGTCGTTATGCCGATATGTGTTCCCCGGATGCCCGTGCGCAGAATTATTTTGCATACGTGGTCTTGCGTACCGCGAGTGCGCAAGCCATGCGGGAGAAACAACGTGGTGAAAATTATGTGGTGCAAACCATGCGCACGCGACTGTGTGGTGCGAGCAGTCTTGTGGAAGCTGTGTACTTACGAAGAGCTATCGGGGACATGGTAAAGACGCACCTGGGGCATCACTCAGCATGAACGAATACAGCATACACATCCACGGCGCATATTTTGTAGAATGGACGCGCGCTCAAGCAATCCACGCGTCGACATAATCGCTGGTAGATCATATGGGAAACTTCAAATGGCTTCTGGATTACTGCTCGACGCTTATGTATCACATCTATGTATGTATCTGCTACTAGAACCACGCGCGCTTCGCGCGCGCTTAGGTTCTAGTCGCGCTCGGGGATCTATCATTGCGAACTGCCGCTGGGCACTGCCAGGTTGACTCGGGAGTTCCCTTAAGGTTGGTCGTGGGACCTGCCTCTGTTTGATCCGGTAACCCAAGAGTCGTGTACGGGGGTCTTTCCCGTGCCCGGGCACACGGGAACCCGATTAGTTGTCGTTATGCCGATATGTGTTCCCCGGATGCCCGTGCGCAGAATTATTTTGCATACGTGGTCTTGCGTACCGCGAGTGCGCAAGCCCTGTGGGAGAAACAACGTGGTGAAAATTATGTGGTGCAAACCATGCGCACGCGACTGTGTGGTGCGAGCAGTCTTGTGGAAGCTGTGTACATGGTTACGAAGAGCTATCGGGGACATGGTAAAGACGCACCTGGGGCATCACTCAGCAAGAACGAATACAGCATACACATCCACGGCGCATATTTTGTAGAATGGACGCGCGCTCAAGCAATCCACGCGTCGACATAATCGCTGGTAGATCATATGGGAAACTTCAAATGGCTTCTAGATTACTGCTCGACGCTTATGTATCACATCTATGTATGTATCTGCTACTAGAACCACGCGCGCTTCGCGCGCGCGCTTAGGATCTAGTCGCGCTCGGGGATCTATCATTGCGAACTGCCGCTGGGCACTGCCAGGTTGACTCGGGAGTTCCCTTAAGGTTGGTCGTGGGACCTGCCTCTGTTTGATCCGGTAACCCAAGAATCATGTACGGGGGTCTTTCCCGTGCCCGGGCACACGGGAACCCGATTAGTTGTCGTTATGCCGATATGTGTTCCCCGGATGCCCGTGCGCAGAATTATTTTGCATACGTGGTCTTGCGTACCGCGAGTGCGCAAGCCATGCGGGAGAAACAACGTGGTGAAAATTATGTGGTGCAAACCATGCGCACGCGACTGTGTGGTGCGA